GAGGCCAGAACCTGGCACTCTCTGGCAGTCTGCTGAGCTCTGAGCAGCTACCCTGCTGGAGTAGATTTAGATACTTATTTTAAAAATTAGAACCCTACCCTGGCCAATGTTTTAAAAAATCATAATGAGTAACATTTCCTTTTGTTAACTGTTTGTGCCAATGCTCAGAGGGAAGATATGTTGCAGATTTAGTAAGCTTAGACATGTACTCACATACTTGGATTTAAAAGATTAATATATCCATTATTCAAGTCACTGAGTCCTTTGGTGCTTGCTTGATTTGAACAGGTAGATGTCCTAAAACTTACTCTTTTCTGATACCTGCAATCCAGAAAAAAGTACTGTTTTGAAACTTCAAGACAAGTGTAACTACTCTGGTGAGGGTCCTAGCTTCCAACTGTAGAATCCATTCGCATGAATTTAAGCACAAAAAATGTTTAAATGACATTTTGAACAAACTTATTAAATTCAGACCAAGGATCAGGGTGAGGGGATTAATTGAGATATATTAGTCAAAGGGAACACAATTTCAGTTATGCAAGAATATAAATCCTGAAGATCTAGTACCCATAGTTACCAACATTGTATTGCACACTAACAATTTTATAAAGAAGGTAGATGGATGTTAAGTGTTCTTGCTATAAAATAATGAAAGGGTAAGAGAAAACTTTCAAAGGTCATGACTGATTGTGGAGATGACTTTATGGGTATATACTTACCCCTAAATTCAAGATCTTTAAGTTAACTGCATACAGTTTTTATATGTCAATCATACCTCAATAAAATGATTTAGAAGTAAATACAAAGATTGGAAAACTAAGAGCCAGACAAACAGGTTACTTCCATATTAAACCTGAATGCCAGTCACTATACAGAAATCAACAGGATTGGAGTCTCCCCTCATGAAGCTCTATCTATTTTGTCAACAGGTTGTGCATTGTTTCCACTTCATGGACTTTTAAAAATAACTGATACCAGGGGATGGAGAGAGAGCTCACTTGGTAAAGTGCTTGCCACATAAGCATGAGAACCCGAGTTCAATCCCCAACACACACGAAAAGCCAGGCATGGTGGCATGTTCCTATACTCCCAGCGCTGGGGTGGCAGAGTCATGTGGATCCCTGGGGCTCACTGGCCAGCAGTCTAGCCTAATCAGTGAGGTTCAGGCCCCAGTAAGAGAAGACCCTATCTCAAGATAACAAGCTGTATGTCTCCTTAGGAGCAACACCTGGTTGACCTTTGGCTTCCACGTGCACTCATGTATAAACGTACCTACACATGCATATATATATATATATATATATATAGAGAGAGAGAGAGAGAGAGAGAGAGAGATGAGAGAGAGAAAGAGATAGAGAGAGAGGAGAGAAATAAACAATGTCTGCACCACCTAGAAACTGAGATCTAAGTTGTCTTTGTGAAGCCTGGCTTTGATGTTGTTTTTATTTTGTTACTGTTGTTTAGTCACTGAGAAGATTCTAGGTTCAGTCAGAGGTGAAAGTCAGTATTTTTAAGTCAAATACCAGACTGGAGATATGGCTCAGTGGTTACAAGCACTGGCTGCTCTTGCAAAGGAGCAAGTTTGGTTCCCAGCATCCACATGGTGGCTAACAATCATCTGAAACTCCAGTTCTAAGAGATAAAGTGCCCTCTTCTGGCTTCCATGGGTATTGCATGACATAGATGCACTTACATACATGCAGGCAAAACACTCATTCACATAAAATTTTTTTTAAATCCAAAAATATTTAAAATAAGTGTCAAATACCTACCTGAGCATCTAAATTCCTGGGGAACTTTTAAAATATGCATATAGTCACCCCAGTTAATGAAATAAAAGAAAAATTGAGGTTACAGGAAAAATGAGAGGGTGGCAAATGGCTTTCATATTAATAGGTATTGATTTAGAGTTCCAGATATTAAGGATACACTAAGAACTTTCGACAGTAAAGATAAGGATGTTATTGGGTGTGGTGGCACATGTCTGTAATCCCAGCACTAGGGAAGCAGAGTCAGGAGGATTCCAAGTTTGAGACTAGCCTGGGCTACATGGTGAAACCCTGTCTCAAAAAAAAATGGAAAAGGAAGGAAGGGAGGGAGGGAGGGAGGATAAGAAAGATGTCTAATGTTTCCTCTACTATATTGTATTATAGTAGTTCCTAGAGTGGCCACAAAGAATTAGATGAGAGATGACCAGTCAGCCTTGCTACCCCAAATCAAAAGACATGATGTTTACAGATTGTGCTGTAAATCTTCCTTCATTGAATTTATCATTCCTGTCCTGTTCATGTGTTCAAAATACCACAAACTTGGTGGTTCATAAATGATAGAAATGTATTTCTTATAGCTCTAGAGGCTGGAAAGTTAAGACTGAGGTAGTAGTTGGAAAGGACCTGGTCTCTTCACCTTTAGGATGGTGCCCTGTAGCCATGTCCTCTGCATAGGAGGAGCACTGCTATGTCCTCACATGGCTGAAGAAATAAGAGGCAAACTCCTCCCATCAAATGACACCCAATCCTATCTATGAGAGCAGAGTGTTGTAGCTCTTTCACCCATAACAGCCATATATCTTTGTACTGTGGAATGACAATTACATTCCAACATGATGGAAGCAGCAGCATTCAAACCAGAGAATCTCCTAACATCCTTACTGGATTTCCCATCATCCTTACTGTGACTTGCTCGTATTTTCTGCCAACATTCCATTGTATTTTAGGATTTTGAATTTCCAACCTCTTTGACCATAAATATTTGTTTTTCGTGGTGTTTGAGCACCCTGCCTGATTGCAGTTTGAATGTGATTTCAGTTTCAAGAAAGCCTGACTTCTCATCATGACGGAGCTTCATTGACCAACATAAGCAAGCCACAATTCCAGGACTCACACACTGACACGTAAACATGTATTCACTTAACTCCAACTTAACTTGTTTCAGTTGGGAAGACTGTGGTTAGTTGCACGCTTATCTTTTCACTACAATTTAATGGTTCAAATATAAAGACAAGTCATAAGACTCATGTAACAAGCACCAGTGTTATGTTTTGAATAGGCGATGTATCCCACAGGCCATGTGTTGAACACTCCCTCCCTATAGGGCACTGGAAACTTTAGAAGGTGAGGACTGGATGGAGGAAGTAGGTCACTGGGCATGCCTTTGAAGGTTCCATGTGGTCTCTGCTCTCTCTCTCTCTCTCTCTCTCTCTCTCTCTCTCTCTCTCTCTCTCCTTCCTGGCTGCTGTAAGGTGGGCAGCTCTGCTCTAACACTGACTGCCGTAATGCTACAATGGACTGAAATTATAAACTAAAAACTTGCCTTTTCTCCTTAAGTTGTTTTGCTCAGGGATTTGATCAAAGTGACATGAAGTCTGATTGACACAACCTGCCTACTTATTATCAAATCTCACTGATCCATCTGTACCTACAGCCATTTCAGACTCTCTGACTAACCCTTCCCAGTCTCATTCCCCTTTTCTTCAGAGGATACACCATCCTGGTCTTAGTGTATATTATTTTATCATTTTAATGAGTGATTTTATACTTTTTAGACAGAGTCTCTCCATGCAGTTCAGGCTGGCATGGAACTTGTTGTATAGCTCAGGCTGGACTTGAACTTGTGATTTCCCTATACTACTCTCCCAGGTGCTGTAATCTTTTGTACTTTGATTACATACTTTTATTACACATTTGATTATATACATTTATTCCTCTAAGTCTTATATTTTTACTGAAAATTAAGTCTTTAAGAGTTATTGATGATAATGATGCATATAGTTATTTTTAACTACTACATATTGCTCTATTTATACAACATATATTTTTATTGCATACAAATAGTCATTTGCTATTTATTTATTTTTATTTATTTACTTTTTTGAGACAGAGTCTCACTATGTAACTCTGGCTGACCTGGAACTCGCTATGTAAACCAGGCTAGCCTCAAACTCACATAGAGAGATTCACCTGCTTCTGCTTCCTGAATGCTGAGATTAAAGGCCTGTGCTATCAGGAAGGCCAGCAGCATTTGCACTCTTCCAATTGCTATTGTAATTATTCCGTGAATATTCTTTCACACAACTCCATGTATACGAACATTGGATTTTTCCTTTCAACTTTATTTTATCCATATAAGTAATTTTCAATATGTAGCAATGAAAAAGGTATGAACCACTACACTAGTCCAATGTAAACAACTTTAAAGCAATATTATCATGTTGAACTGATGGTTTTAACTTGTGACCCGTGAAAGTCACCAAGGACCTCCTTCATGGAGATATAAGCCTCAGCTTTGAACCAAAGACTATCAAGTATTAATCAAATACAGAATTGGGAAAGGAGGTTAAAATGCTTTCATAAGATGAGGGGTCAGGACCAATCTTACCATCTTTCCTGTTTGCTTGACATATAGCTAGCCAGAGTTCACCTGATTCATACCTCCCCTTATATAAAACTAGAGGCAACAGACTGCAGTATATAATCACTAAATTTAATATGAACCCTTGCTGAAAGTTTTCCCATTACTTGTTTATTGCTCTAGGAAGGAATAAATAGGCCTTACAGAGGTTTCTATTTCATTTATTATTTTTTATTATTATTGATTTTTGTTTCATTCTATTTATTAGTGTCTATATACAGTGTCTATATACAGTGATATGTAATGTGTCCTGGGGTTTCCAAGAAGTCCTCAGAACCTAGAATGCCCTGAGGAAGAGATGGCTTTAGCTATCTAACATTTTATTTATTATTTTTATTTTATGCATGTGAGTGTGCTGCCTGAATGTATGTAAGTGCACCCATGCCATGCAATGTGCTTAGAACTTGGAGTTCAGAAGATGGTGTCAGATTCCCCTGGAACTGGAGTTACAAATGGTTGTTAGCCATCTTATGGGTGCTGGAAATTGAACTCAGGTCCTCTGCAAGAGCAGCCAATGCTCTCAACTGCAGAGTCATCTCTCCAGCCCCAACTTTTACCATCTAAAATGAGGTTTTTTTTTTCTTTTGTAGTGACGATCCAGAAATGCTTGTCTCCTGTTGTTGGTGAATAATAGCAGAGTACTATGGATCATGCTGAAGAAAATGAAATCCCCGCAGCAACCCAGAGGTACTATGTGGAAAGGCCTATCTTCAGTCATCCTGTCCTTCAGGAAAGACTGCACACTAAGGACAAGGTTTCAGATTCCATCGGAGATAAACTGAAACAGGCATTCACGTACGTTGCATTTTAACTCATTTCCTCTGTTGTATTGTTCTGCCATGAGAGGAACAATGTCAAATATGTAAAGGAAATCTTTCTGGTGAAGTGGAGGAAGGATAAATGGAAAGCACTCCCAATTTGCAAAGGCATTCACAGTGGTCCAGTTGGTATCAGACTTTGGATTGGTCATATGAACATTGGATTTCACCATGTATCCTAGTCACTTCTGTTGCTGTGAGAAAATATCCTGACCAAAAAACTACATAGGGAAGCAAATGATTTATTTTTCTTATAATTCCAGGTTACAGTCTATCATTGAGAGGAAGTCAAGGCAAAACTTAAAGCATCACATCCCCAGTCAAGAGCAGAGAGAGAATAAACCCATAGATCCCTGCTTGCTTGCTTGCTTCCACTAGCTTTCTCCTCTCTGATGTTATTCAGTGTGCTGGGTCTTCCTACATCAATTAACAATCAAGACAGTCTCCACAGGCCAACCTGATCTAGATAATCCCTCATTAAGACTCTCTTCATAGGTGATTCTAGGTTGCAAGTTCTGTGTAAAGGTTTATACAAATAACCTGTTCTCTCATTTTCCACATAGTTCTAAAATATCTATCCCCTCCCTTTTTTCTCCCAGGAATAGTTCAGACTTTTTGCCTTATTGCTCACCTATGGCTCCCACCTCATTTAGCAACATCTTAATCAACAAATGGGAATTTTTCCTTATGACTCTTGGGTCTGAGTGATGGAAAACACCTTATTGTGAGTTCTATGGTGATATTCTTCCTTTACAACTTTACCTGTCTGTCTTTGTCTTCTTAGATGTACTCCTAAAAAAATAAGAAACATCATCTACATGTTCCTGCCTATCACTAAGTGGTTGCCAGCATATAAGTTCAAGGAGTATGTGTTGGGTGACTTGGTCTCAGGCATAAGCACTGGTGTGCTTCAGCTTCCTCAAGGTTTGTGCACCATATTTCTTCTGTGTGTGGGGGGGGTCTTACATCATTTGTTTTCCTTGCTCTCATTTCCTCAAATAACTGTTTGACCTTCGTTCATCATGGTGGCAAATTCATATTTTTTATTCGTTTGGTTTGAGTAACCTTAACCTTTCTAAAGAAGTTTTTCAGAAACTTAACCCTTAAGAACCCTCATGGCCATTCATAGTAGAAAGAGATGGTACTAATTTGAAGATCAGTGCCCAGGTTACCCCTATCATACCTCTTTGCTAAATCAGTGTCTCAATTCATATTTTGTAGTTGTAGCAGTAAAGTCTTGGCTTCTAAATCTATATTCTAACTAAAAGAGATCATTGTATACTGAATTCCTTTGCAGCTTTGTTTATTTGAAATATAAAAACTTATGAATATCAATTTGTTATGTAAAGAATGCATATTTATCAAGTACAAGCCTGCCTCCCATTGTCTCTAGGAAGCTAACTAACCATGCAATCAGGGAGACAACAAATAAATAAAAACACGTATTTTTAATTATAAACAATATGAAGGAAGTGACAGGGCACCATAAGGTAATAATTATTATGGGCCTAATTTAAGTAGAGAAACATTAAAAAGTTCTTTGGAAGAGTAGATTTGACCCACACTCGTACTCATACAAGTACCCATACTTAAACTCAGTCTCTCTCTCTCTCTCTCTCACACACACACACACACACACACACACACACACGAAGGCGGCTTGTTGAGAGAAGGATTACAGCAGAAGAGGGGGGGAGATGAGAGAGAGTCATGGATGGTGAAAATGTCCAAAATTCATTATAGACATGTAAGAAACTGCCAAAGGAAAAATATTTTTGAAGTTGATTTGAGCCGAGACCCGAGGCAGGTGGAGATAAAAGAAAGTGAATTTCAGGGAGAAGGACCAACCTGTGTGCAGGCATGAGCAGGAAGACAGCTGGGTGTGGTTTGAAGGGATGAGGGGAAGACAGTGTGCTCAGTACAGGGAGCCACTTGGGCAGTAGGAGTAAGGTGTGTGGAGGCAGGTCCATACGGCTTCTCAGGCCCCTTCTGGGTTTCATTCTGAGGGCAGTAAAAAGCCATCATGATGTTTTGCATGTAGGTTTTCTCTTTTCTAAAATTATTTGTGTGAGTGTAGAGGTGAAGGAATGGGAGCTGGAGGTCTACATATGTGTTTGTACATATGTGTGGGCACATAGGTGTGCAGGTGCATATATACTTATGTGACTGCCTGTGGAGGCCAGAGGTCAACCTTAGCTGTTTTGCCTTAGGAGCGGTCCACCTTTTAGAGACAAGGTCTCTCACTAAGACCTGGGGTTCATCAATTCAGCTAGACTGGCTGGCCAGCGAGCTATAGGCAGGCTGTCTCCACCTCCCTAGTGCTGGGACTGCAGGCACACACTATCTCTCCCAATTTCTTACATGGGCGTTGGGGATAGAGTGCAGGTCCTTGTGCTCACATGGTCAAGTACTTTGCTGACAACTATCTCCCCAAGCCTGTGGGTTTTCTTTCTACAGGTTACCATGAGAGAATGGATCAAGTTGGTGATGGGGGTCCAACAGTAGATGCAGAGGAATCAGTGAGAGGTGACAGTGTCTCAGTGTAGGCAAAAGTAATGTTTTGAGTAGTTCCAGGGGTATGGCTCTAAAAATGGAAAGAATGTAAGTAAGATCAGGAAAGGTAGCTGTTGGATTGATGTTGGAAGAATGAGGGAGAGAAAGAGAAAGCAGCAGAAAAAACTAGAAATAATCTGGAAAGGGGAGGGAAAGCCAGGAGTACATGGTATAATGGAAATGAGGAAATTATTTCAGAACATGAGATGATCTACTAGGTCAGGTGCTGCTAAGAGGCCTATGTCACCCCACAACAAATTTGTATCACAGAGATGTTATTCTGACCATCACCAATCAGTGTAGATAGCAAAGAAACAAAATATAGCAAAGATAAAATTATGAGAAAGTAAATAAATTGACTATGATTGATAAGTGCTTTAAATTTCTGAAAAGACTGTTAAACAAGTCAAATTAGATACATAACTGTATTTATAATTCACTTTATTTGGGTCAGGGAGAAGTTTATTTTGCTTACACTTCCAGGTCACAAATCATCATTGGGGGAAGTCAGGGCAGAAACTCAAGGCAGGAACCTGAATGCAGGAGCCATAGAGGAACACTGCTTGTTGGCTCACTGTCTGGGTTGCTTACTTGTTCATGCTTAGCCTAGCATTTTCATGCAGCCCAGGACCACCTGCCTGAGGAATGGTACTGCCCACAGTGGGCTGGGCGCTCCTACATCAATTAATATTTAGGACAATCCCTCAAAGACATACCTATAGATCAGCCTGATCTAAGAAATTACTCAATTGAGGCTTTGCCTCTCAGATGATGCTAGGATGTGTCAAGTTGACAATTAATGCCAATCAGGACAACCACTTAATTCAAAAGCTACTGAATCCAGTACATCGAATAGTAAATTGGGCTGATAGTTCTTATAATTTAGGTTTATTTCAGCTGGTATGACTGTGGTCTATATAAAATATTTATTATGCATAGTATTCTGTCTTATTGTTTAAGGCATAGAATTGCTACTCTCAAAATAAAAAACTTTGCCTAAATCTGTGATCATAATTAGGGAGTGGAGGAGGGCTGCCATGACCAGTCAGATCAATCAGAGGGAGATTTTAACACACACTTAACGCCCTGTTCTATGGGCACTCACTGGTGCTAAAATGAGTACGGGGAGACAGCCTAAGTTACTTGGATAATTCATACCAACACAGATGCCTTTAGAACTAAATGGTATCAGACTATCCATTTTCTTCTTACAAATCCCAGGTTGTTTTTGAGCTAAGTGAGATGACCTTCATAAACCAAAACAGGAGCATTTCATGTGCTTATTTTAGTGCAGAATTTGTAGGGAATCCTGCCCTTCTTCACAGTACCTAGAAATAGAAAAATGAACCATCACAAACCAACAACTGTTTCTCTGATGTTTTTTGCTTGATTAGTCTGAGAGGCTGCTCTGAACATTACTAATGCTCCAAGCAGTAATGCTTGCCCACTCACATTGTACAAATACAGACTTATTTTCAAGAGGCACAGACCTATTTGAAGATAATGAGATGCTTTGGGATACTGGTAATACAACTTTGATGATGCTACTTTAGATTTTGGTTTCTATATTAACTGTGTGGGAAATTATTTGCTGCTAAAGGAGATGCAGAAAGAAAAACAAGTGCTATGGCAATAAAAGCTGAATTGAAAATGTGGTCATAGTGGTTAGCAATTTTGATATCACATATGTTTTAGTTTCTAATGTTATTTAATTCGACTCTGAACAACTTAAAGCAATTAGCAATGGTTTAAAATTATATTAAAGGGAACTACTTGTATAATAACAACATACTTTTAAAAGCTATGCATATAAAACCAAGTACTGGAGAAATTGCAAAGACAATCTAGGTAGAGTTTGGTTCTGTATCCACAACTGCTTAACTTTCACCAAAAATTGTTGAATATCAGCCCAGTTTTACCTCCAGGGGAGGCACTTGTAATTCATTTTAAATCCCTACTTTGCAACCAATTTGGCAAGGTGGAAAGAAGTCCTCAGATAAAAGTTGTAACACTCATCTACATTCTAGGTCAGCAGTCTAGAGATAAAGAAACCTGCAGTTACTACAAACAAGATCAGGTTGAAAATAAGAAGTTAAGGAGTTCAGGTAATATTGTGAGGTATCAGCAGGTAAAGGGCTAAAATAAAGGAAATAAGTAACTATGTAATGAGTAGCACAGATACTCAGGTGCCCACCTTTCCGCCACGCATGGAATGGCATGGTGGAATTACCAAGAAATTTTAGGATTATGTAAGAGTCTGTGTGTTCCACTGTGAGCCAACAAAAGGCCCTTTCCTGGTCCTGCTCAGCTGCAAGGTAATTTCAAAACACTTAGCCAATGGGAATGGAGAGATGGCTCAGCAGTTAAGAGCACTGACTGCAGGACCTCAGTTTGATTCCATCACTGATATGGCAGCTAACAACCGTCCATAACTCCAGTTCAAGGGAATCTGATGCCTTCTTCTGACTTCTGTGGGCATTGTACGACATGGGGGTACTTACACACAGGTGGGCAAAACACTGATACACATAAAAATTAAAATAGTAAATAAAATATTATTTTAAAGAAGCACTTGACCAAGGCAGATGGTGACCCGCACACATAGAAAAGTCGTATAGAGACAACTAGGGTCCTCTAGTGAAGATGCTGTCTGGCTACTCAGTATCAATAAACAAAGCAATGTTTTACATGAAGTTTCAAGAAAGCCAGAGATTAGCCTGGTCTGTGACATAGTCCTATAATCCTAGCTGCTCAGGAGGTTGAGGCAGGAGGATCACAAATTCATGGCTTCCATGGGCTACAAAGCAACCTCAAGGGGCTGGAGAGATGGTTCAGAGGTTAAGAGCACTGACTGTTCTTACAGAGGACCCAGGTTTAATTCCCAGCACCCACATGGTGCCTAACAACTACCTGTAAATCCAGTCCCAGGAGATCTGATGTTCTCTTCTGACCTCCTCAGACATTGCACAGCACAGGTGTACCTACCTACATGCAAGCAATACAATCATACACATAAAATAAAAATAATAAATAAGATTTTTAAAAAGCAGCCTCAAGGGAGCCTGAGGAACTTAGCAAGACCCTGTCTCCAAATAAAAAGTTTTTTTTTCTAATGGGTTTGAATGGCTTAATTTTAGAGCACTTGATTACAACATGCAAGATCCTGGGTTCAGTACCTACTAGATGGGAGAGAAGGGGCAAGGGCAAGGAAGAGAGAGACCAACCAAACCACACAGAACGAAGGAGCTCTGGGCCAGCAACATGGCTCGGTGGGTAAAAGCACTTCCTGCACAAGCCTAGTGACCTGAGTCCAATTCCCAGAGCCCATGTCAAGGAAGGAGAGAACTGACTCGGCAAAGTTGTCCTCTGCACTGTGGCATGCACACACCCACACATACACATCATATGCACACATATACACTGACAATAATAAATGAAATAAAATTTTATAAAAAGAAAGAAGAAATTAATCAGAAACAGAAGTAATGGAGAGGGAAAATCTTTATAGAAATGTAAAATCACATGGAACTCATGAAATAAGCATAGGATGTTGCTGTTAGAAAAGAGTCAGAAAGAGCTCACAGAGCCAAACATGAGAATAAAATTCTGTTGAAGGGCTGGAAGACAGAGTAGAGGAAATCTCCTGGAAATAGAAGAAAATATAAATAAATAGGCAATTACAAATGAAAAGATAATGCAGCAAGCAATCCCCATGTGCCATTATCCATTCCAGAAAGGTTTCAAGAAAGAAGGACAAGTATACTCCCAAGGGAAGAAACCATCAAGGAATCACTCCTTGGAGTTTTCAGACTTCAAAGAAGTGAATCAGACTAAATGAAAAGCCATTTAAAATAAGGCATGCATGGCACACTATCTGAATACCAGGGATAGACAGAAGACAAAGCTTTGTAGTAATGAAGAGAAAGCACATTGTGGTGACTAATGTGAAGCCGAAATATGGTTTCTATCAAAAATTGTTATATAAGGATAAGACTATCACAGTGGACAACTGAAATTTACAAACCTATAATACTATTTGTACCATTGGATACAAACATTATTTACAGCAAAATTCCTCATCCTGGTACCATTTTTGTCATCTGTCATGGAGTATGCCCTGTGTGATAGGATAGCAGCTCGCTGGTCTCTGACTCCAGATGGCAGGAACACTGCCCATCCATCATGATGAAAATGTCTCTAGAGTTTGCCAAATGTCACCTGGAGGGAGCAAAGTTGCTCTCTGTTGAGAACCTGATTTAGGAAAGTAGAGATAAATAACGGGAATATAGAGTTGGGAGTGATTGCCCCTGTAGAGGAGGGAGGGGAGAAGGCAGAATGCTCTCCCCAGGGTGGGAGTGTGGGGGTTTTAAATGCTGCTTGGCTTTTTCAATGGTACATGTGCAGTTCTTAGCTAGAAACAAAATTTATTTTTTAAAAGGCAATACTAGAGCGACTATACTGTTGCTTATGAAGTAGGGGTTTTTTCTTCAGAATATAACAATGCATTAGGTGACTTTTCTAGGTGTCCCAGAAATTTTGCTGAGACCTCAAAGCTTTAAGAGCAAGTATTGCTTACACACTGGAGGGATGCCAAACCGATAGAGAGCTCTGTGTGACGACAACCAAACTCCCTCCTCAGTGCATCACTTCAACAGAACACATGAGGGAAGGGCAGACTGATGTTCAGAACACAGGCCATGTCCCTTGGATTTGTAGAGATAGCTTCCAAGTTTTTGAATGAAAATAAAGTCTAACTGCTCAAAAAAGTCTCTTTTAAAGATATTCAAGGAAACCTACACAGTGATTTTTCTAGCAGTTTTATTCATAATTGCCAAACCAAGATGTCTTTGGTAAATAGATAAACTGTAATATGTCCAGATGATGGAACACTACTTACCATTAAAAAGAAATGAGTTCATCAGCCATGAAAAAGATGTAGAGGAAGCTTGAATGGGTATTTCTGAGTGAAAAAAGTGGATCTGAAAAGACTTTGCAGTGTGTGATCCCAACCATACATTCTAGGAAAGGCAGGCTGTGTAAGCAGTGAAAAGATCAGTGGTGGCTAGGGATTTATGAGAAGGACCAGACAAGTAGGTAAGAATAGAGGACTTGAGGCGATAAGAACAATTCTGTATCACACTCTGACGGTGTGTGTGTGTCACTGCACATCTGCATGGGACACATAGCATGAGTGTGAACCCAAATATAAACACTGGGGGTAATGATGCTGTGCTGTGGGTCTATCTTTTGTAGTAAATATACCACTATGATGGGGGACCATTGATAATGGGGAAACCATGCATGTGTGAGGACAGGAAGACTACCAGAACTCTCTGCACCTTCTACTCATTTTGTTGTGAGCCTAAAACTGTTCTTTAAAAAGGTCTATTTTAAAAACTGGGGGAAGTCAACAAGTAAAGTACTGAGATAGCCCAGTGAAAAGAGGGCCCTCTAGAGTAACATGCCCTTCTAAAAATCTCTTGGAGTAAATTTCCACAGTTTCCCACTGGAAAACTGCATACCCTGGAAGCTTACCAGGCTTGGCTCACTTGGAAGATGGCTGTCCACAGAATGAGCAGCTGCCAGCAAAGCCTGGGAGTCTGCCCCTTTCCATGAGGGACCAACAGAGGAACTTAAGAGTCAGGCAGAGAGGCACATGGACCAGGGAACAGTACAGTAGGGCTTACGGATAACAAAGAGGTCTCCAAATGACCCACAAATCGCCGCATTGGAGAGAGTCCTCAAGGTTCATCAACACCAAACTGCAACTGCACCATCAAGTGAGACTTTTCTGCTGTTACTTAATTTGTAACAGAATAAAGCAGAAACACGCTCCCTATGGGCAAAAGGGAGACGACAGAGCAAACTGCCTTATTAGTTACACTGCTGTGACAAAACACCCGACAGAAACAATTTAAGGATTTATTTGGGCTCACGGTTCCAGGGCACAGGCCAGGGTGGGGAGGAAGGTATGGTTCAGGTGCTTGAGGCAGCTGGTCACACTGTATCTGCTGTCGAAGCAGAGAGGAATGAAGCTCATGCTCAGCTGACTTTCTCCTTTTTATTCTGTCCAGGACCCCAGCCCATAGCACAATACCAGCCCCATTTAAGGTGCTTTCCCACCTCAGTTAATCTAACCTAGATTATCCCTAGCAGGCATGCCCAGAAGCTTAACTATTCAGTGATTCCAGATCCTGTCAGGTATTAGCCATCATCCTGCCCCAACCTGAACACTGGATTGTACATGGAATTGGGGCAGAAGGGCAGACATTTTTTTTTTAGTGCATACTATTTATTGAATTTTTGTGCATTCCATGCATCTTAATCATATTTAGACTCTCCTCCCCTAGCTGCACCCTCCCAAAGCCCCCCCCGACCAGATTTCATGTATTCTGTCATATCTGTTAGGCCCTATCAAGTCAAGTTTGTGTCCCCAGATGTCCCCCAGTGTCCCCCAGCCTGGTCAGCCTGTCTAGCATCACTCCCTTAAAGAAGATTATCTCCCACCCAGCAGAGATCAGCTGCCAATACTTCTGTGTCTATGTTTGGGGCTTCTTGAAGGGCAGACATTTTAGATCCACCCATTTATTTTTAACATAAGTATGACTTATTTATCAGCAACCCATCCAAGAGGAAAGTCCACATGCCCTGCTGCTTGCTAACCATCTCTCCTTCTGACCCTACAGGTTTAGCCTTCGCAATGTTGGCAGCTGTGCCCCCTGTGTTTGGCCTGTACTCTTCATTTTACCCTGTTATCATGTATTGCTTTTTGGGAACCTCCAGACACATATCCATAGGTAAGAACTTATATATGATCATCTAAAACTTTTTCTTTTTGGTTTCCAGGTCTTATAGTATGGCAAATAAATTGTGTGCTTGTTATTAGAAAGCTGTTCAATGAAACTTGTATGGCTGCACCAAAAAATGCCTCAAAAAATGTACTCCTCTCTGCTGAGGATGTTATGTCAGTGCTAGATCACTCACCTAGCATGTGTGAAACCCTGGGATCAATCCTCAGTACTAGAAATAATATATATAAATATGTGTGCACATACATTCTTTATCTTATTTTCTTTCCTCCCAAGATTTCTAAAATTACTAGCTTTCTTATAATCTTGGATTAACTAAAAAGGACAATTTTCTAACATAAAAAAATTGCTAAAATCTGTACAATGAGATCAATGCTTTATTTTCTTATACAATTTGCTGTACTCGGTTTTCCTTCTTATTTAACAGTGCTCAAAGTTTGTAATTGACATGCATATCATCTTCACTGTATTTTATACACGTTTAAGATGAGAGTGTTGGAGCTTTAGATGGCTGCCAGCAACAAAGAGAGTGTCTCAGGTATCTGTTGCCGGATATCAAATGCTCCCTAAATTTAGAAGCTTATATTATGGATCGTTTTAAAAAATAAAGTTTAACCAGGCGTGGTGGCACACGCCTGTAGTCCCAGCACTTGGGAGGCAGAGGCAGGCAGACTGATGTGAGTTCAAGGCCAGCCTGGTCTACAAAGTGGGTTCCAGGACAACTGGGGCCACAGGGAGACCCTGTCTCAAAAAGGCCAAAATAAATAAATAAATAAATAAATAAATAAATAAATAAATAAATAAATAAGAAAAATAAAAAATAAAGTTTAAAAAAATAGGATACATGAAAACCAATTGTTTTACTATCTCACAGCCCCCAGGGGTCAAGATTTCAGAAGGATTTTCCCAGGCAATTCCTTTCTCCTTCCTTCCTTCTCTTCTCTTTCTTTTCCCTCTCCTCCCCTCCCCCTCTATGTAGTCCCAGGAGCTCCCCACATGGCCAACTGGAGCTTTCTCACACATGGTGGCCCGGGCTGCAGCAGAAGTTTAATAGCTCTCCTTCCATGGAGAGGGCCTGCTGCCAATGCCACATGCACTTGTATACTTCTCCAAATGGAGGCCAGAGTTTGACATCCACCTTATATGCGAAGACAGGGACTCTCACTGAACCCAGAACTCACTGATTAGCTAGACTGGCTGGCTAGCGAGCTCTGGGGATCCACCTGTCTTCTACCCACCCTCCAGCGCTTGGGTTACAGTTGTGTGGGCGGGAGATCCGAACTCAGGTCCTCATGCTTGCAGGGCAGGCACTTCACTGACTGAGCCATCTCACAACCTCAGAAGTCACACAGGGTCACTGCTACTGCATTCTTTTGACTACTGGCAATATAAGCCCACCCAGATTCAAGGAGAGAGGAAGTAGACGCCACCTCTAGGTAGAGAAATAGAGTGTGTGAGGGAAGGTATTGTGATGGTCCTGTCTGGGAAATAGTGTACACACACCATGTGCCCACACACCTGATGCAGGGAGCTCAAGGAAGGCAAGCAGTCACCTGCCAAGGATGAGAAGTGGACCTCTGACGTGTCTCTTGCATATTGACAAAGTATCAGACAGAAGTAGTTTTCCTGAACCCCTGAACAGGAATCATTCATGCTCATCACATCAGAGTCCCCAGACCATTTCCTTGAGCCCCTGAACAGCACTCAGCCATGCTTCTTCATTGCAGGTCCCTTTGCGGTTATTAGCCTGATGATTGGTGGTGTGGCTGTTCGATTAGTGCCGGATGATATAGTCATCCCTGGGGGTGTAAATGCAACCAACGGTACAGAAGCTAGAGATGCCTTGAGAGTGAAAGTCGCCATGTCTGTGACCTTACTTTCTGGAATCATTCAGGTAAGACTAGTATGGAGGGATGGGCTCTGGTTGGTTATCTGTGGAATACCTATTAAATCCTCTTAGCTGGTCTTACGATACATGGGCAGAGTCAGCCAGTAAAACTCCAGAGTTCAGGCTCATAATGCTCAGAGATGCCAGCCTTATTTACCACCAAGACTGACCAGTGGCCTTAGAGATCCCAAAGCAAGACAAGTTTGAAGCAGGGGCAATACTGTCAAGAGGACATCCCTTCTCAACTTGGAAGGAACAGCAGATGTTCATGCACAATGTCTGCACGACTTGAGCATGTGCCTGGCTCCAGGAGATGAGGGTGCATGAGTGTGCCAAGGCCCTGGGGCTCAAGACACTGCACACTCCAGTGAATGATCTGTTAGCTCCTGCCAGTAGCAGTCTGTAGTATTAGAATGTGGCCCAGAAATAAATTTTACATGTTTTCTGTTGATTTAATTTCCTAACTTATGCGATTTGTTTGTTTCTTTGTCATTTAAAAAAATAGTTTTGCTTAGGTGTCTGTAGGTTTGGATTTGTGGCCATTTACCTCACGGAGCCTCTGGTCCGAGGGTTTACCACTGCAGCTGCTGTGCATGTCTTCACCTCCATGTTAAAATACCTGTTTGGGGTTAAAACAAAGCGGTACACTGGGATCTTTTCAGTGGTGTATGTAAGTAAGCGACTCCTGACTCACTGGTTCTGGCTTTCCCTTCCTTGTCCTCCCCCTTCACATCTGTATCTCTCTCACCTTCAAGGCTTCAAGGGAAAAGACTTAGTTTCTCTAAGGCTTTCTAAGAAGAGTGCTACAAGGGAGGCTAAACCCCAAAACCCCATGTTAGGGAGACATGATTCTCCCTTGCTCAGAAGGAATTTATGTTAGGTCTTTATTTGCTGACCACACCCATACCCTAATTAGGTAAAGAGGTAGCTCTTTTGGTAAGATCAAATTATATTGTTTTTTGGCATTACCAAATGACTTAAAGACGTAATAGGAAAAGACATCTCTCTCGAAAGCTGTTTATTCAAGCAGGCAAAAAAAAAAGGTAAAATTATAAACAGTAAAATGTGTACAGACACAGACTATACACAACAGAGAAAATAAAAACTATTTGCAAGTCTATAGTAAAAAATGATAAGTGATCAGATTACAACTGATTATATGAAACCGATTACAAATTCTAAAAGTTCAACATTTTTTCACACAGTGTAATATAGCTAGAAATCAATAACAATATATTTTCAAAACCCTTGTATAAGGCTGGATAGATGGCTCAGTGGTTAAGAGCAACTGCTGCTCTTAGAGAGGACCAGAGTTAGATTCCTAGCACCCATATGGGGGAGCTCACAAATGCCTGTAACTCCAGCTCCAGGGGATCCAACACCCTCTTCTGGCCTCAGCTGGCACTGCATGCACATGCACACACACACACACACACACACACACACACACACACACACGCACATAAATAAAATCTTATTTTTAGGGGCTGGAGAGATGGCTCAGTGGTTAAGAGCACTCCTCCTGGGTGAAGTTTAGAGCACCCACATGGTAGCTGATAGTCATCTATAACTCCAGCTCCAGGGGATCTAGTGGTCTCCACAGGCACTGCATGCATGTGGTACACTTGGATACATGCAGGCAAAATACTCATATGCATAAAATCTAAATAAAGAAATATTTTTTAAAATTTCTATGTTTAGAAGACCCCCCAAAAAAAACATGTTTCTAAATGGCCCTGAAATAACTAGATTAATTGACAGTGAAATACCACTTACGGCAGCTTCAGCTCCGCTGCTATGACCTTTGCAGATATTATATGGCAGACACCACACTAGGCACTGAGATGGAGTGATGAGCTGGGCAGACACAGTCCAATGGGAAGATAGTTGTGAACCGAATTGCACAAATATGTAAATTAGACACAAATTATGTTAAGTGCTATGAAGCAAAGGAATAGGTTGACTAGGGAGATCTTTAGACTAAGGGATTTTTTTTTTTTTTAAGAAAGTCGTTTTGAGAAAGTGATGTTTAAATTTGAGTCTTCAGTTGATAAAACTGGAATCAAACTGTAAGAATATTCTATCAGTTCCCAGTTTCCCCATGAGAGCTAAAATATGCCTTGTTCGCTGAGACTTCTCAAAATGACTTGTCACTAAGAAAATGCAGCATGCATCTACCTGAACTATAGGCTGTGCAGGCTGGGCTCAGTGGGATCTCTGCCTTGTTGGGTTTCAGATGAAACTGACTATATTTGGGGTACCCTGACTGCAATCCTAAACTACAGCTAAGTGGTTTTCTAAATTTCACTCTCTTGGCTTCGAAGTCGGCCTGACTTTGTTTTCATGACAATTTCTAATTCAAGCTCCTGAAAACTTTTCAGTGTATGTACCTCTGGAGTATTTCATTGATATCAACCCCAATTCTTTCCTAATGCTCACAACTCAGTCTGAGAGTTTTTTCTGAATTTTATATTAACTACATTGAGACACTGGCTTATCAAAACACCATAAGCCTAATATGGAGGAGCAAGCTGTCCCAGCACTCCAGCAGATCATGAGTGCAGGTCAACCTGGACTCCACGGTGTGATCAGGTCTCAGAAAATCATTTTTTTAAACTTTAGTATTATTGGATAAGAATTATGAGTATAAAGTTGCATAACTAGGCAAAAAATGCCTCCAAATTTGTACAAGATACAAAGAGGAAAACTTCTGGAGCTGGAGAGATGGCTCAGTAGTTAAGAGCACTGTTCTTGCAGAGGACCAGGGTTCAGTTACCAGCACCCATATGTTGACTAACAACCATCCATAACTCCAGTTCCAGAGGATTTGATGCCTTCCTCTGACCTCTGCAGGCATTGCACAACATAGGTACACTTGCATACATGCAGGCAATACAGTCATACACATAAAATAAAAATAATAATATAATAAATTATAAAATAAAATAAATAATAAAATATAAATAATATAATAAATTATAAAATAATAAATTTTAATGATAAAACAAAAAGGAAAACTTCAGCCTGAAAACCAGTGTTTGTGTGTGTATGTGTATATGTATGTATATTTCTGTGTGTGTCTGTGTGTCTGTGTGCTGAGGATTGAAGTCAGGGCTTTGATCATACCTACTACATGTTCTACCACTGACTCATACACTAACTTCTCCACCCTCACCCATGCTGCCTCTCTTTCAAGTGTTGGCTCTTCCAAATTTCTTAGAGATTTTTTATTGTGATAAAAATATATATAACAAAATTTATCTCATTAGTCACATTAAAATTTTTTTAACTTTTTTATTCTTATTTTTTGTATGCAGGAATGTTTTGCCTGCATGTATGTCAGTTCACCATGAGTGTACAATATCCATGAAGGCCAGAAGAGGGTATTGGATCCCCTGGAACTGGAATTATAGACAATTGTTAGCCATCATGTGGGTGCTAGGAACTGACCCTGGGTCCTATGCAAGAGCAGTCAGGGCTCTTAACCACTGAACCATCTTTCCAGCTTATTTTTTGACTGCTCAGTTCAGTGACAGTAAGTGCATTCATCTTACCATGCAACCATGATCATCATACATTTGCAGAACCTTTTCAACATTCCAGACAGAAGATCCCCATGCATAAAAGAGTCTTTTTTCCCTGTCTCTTCACTCAACTCTGCTAGCCTCTGTTGCACTTTCTGTCACTGTGAACTGCTTGTCTGTGTGTATCTCATGTGTGTGAGTCATGCAATACAGGGGCTGCTGCTTGATGTAAACACCCAGTGTTCACTGTGTTCCAGAGTACAGTTGCTGTGTTGCAGAATGTTAAAAACCTCAACGTGTGTTCTCTAGGCGTCGGGCTGATGGTTTTTGGTTTGCTGTTGGGTGGCAAGGAGTTTAATGAGAGATTTAAAGAGAAATTGCCAGCGCCCATTCCTCTAGAGTTCTTTGCGGTAAGTGCATACATGATAATGACCCGTTCCACCCACACCTGTTCCTTCCAGGGATTCTGAAGTGGGTGATAGTGGAACAGAGAGCTAGAGGATCTTTTTCCCTCAGTTCTGAAAAAAAAAAAAAAACCCTAACAAAATAGTAAAAAGAAAAACCATTAAAACATAGGCATAGATGACCCAAGGAGTCAAGAAAAGAATGTTGGATCTCAGCGGGGCGTGGTGGCACACACCTGTAGTCCCAACCCTGGGAGGCAAAGGCAGGCAGATCTCTGTGAGTTCAAGGCCAGCCTGGTCTACATATGGAGTTCCAAGTCAGCTGGGGCTACAGGGAGACCCTGTCTCAAAAAGACCAAAAAATAAAAAAACAAAACAAAACAAAATACAAGTGAAAACCATAAATGCAAATTTTAACATTCCCCATCTCTTAGTGGTGGGATTTGGGGGAATTGTTTTTCACCTTTTTCCGTTATCTAATTATTCTGTAAAACATATCATATAATATTTAACAACCCATAATAACTTTAATAACATTATTTACTTTAATAAAACAGCATCCATTTTGAAAAGTGTTTTTATTTATTTATTTATTTTTGGTCTTTTTGAAACAGGGACTGGCCTTGTTCTCATGGAGATCCGCCTGTCCCTGCCTCCCAAGTGCTGGGACTATAGGCATGTGCCACCACACCTGGATAACATTTCCCCAACTTTTTTAGTTTCCTGGCACTCCTAACCTTGAGTGAGGACTCAGCTCCATTTCAGCAAAGTCCAATTATCTGACTACATATTTATGACTGACAAATTAGTAGATTTTTTTGTAAAAATACACACATAAATTGGCATAAACAGCACTATGTTCCTACATCACCACAATTTTTTTTTTTGAGACAGGATCTCGCTATTTAATCCTCACTGGCCTGGAACTCACTATGTAGACCAGGCTGGCCTTGACCTCAGACACTGTGATGACAATTATTAATTCATGGATACATACATGGATCGAGCACCATACAAAGCCTCAACCTTGCAGTCAGAATGAGCACCACTCCCCTAAACTCTTGTTCACACGGAGCAATCACAGAACATCCAGGTTTGCAAAGATGTGGCATTATCAGAGGAAACATTGCCTGAACTGATATTCAAACTATAAGCTACCTCCAACCAAAAGTCCTTAGAGTGGCATTATTTCCCTGTAGCCTTTAAAATCCAAAGTATCCCAGTGGATTCCCTCTGGCACCCTAGGACTTCTAGTGTAAAGTTTGGGTGCCACAAAGATTAAAACAAATCTAAAAGAACTACAGATGTCAACCAGGTACATTCCTATAATTATAATCCCAGAAATTGGGAGGCTGACTCAGGAGCATCATGAGTTCAAGGACAGCCTAAGTACACAATGAGAGCTTGTGAAAGAGAGAAAGAAGGAAATAAAGGAGAAAATCAATATGTGTCTGGTCCAACTTCAGCGAGTAAGAAAAATTCCAGCTGCAAAACCAACTGTCTGATGTAGCTTACAAAGAAGCTAATCACTTCAATCTTTTTCTTTGTCATGATCTTAGCGACACCCCGCCAGTATTTTTTTTCTATTTTCTTTTTTTCTTCTGTGCTTGGAATAAAATACTAGGCTTCCTGAATGCTAGGAAAGTGTCTACCCTTGAGCCACACCCTGACCCCCTATATAGTTTAGTACCTTGTAAGGCAGAAGAGACTATCTCTAATTATTTCAAAACTTCTTTGCTCACTGGGATTGGGCACAGAGTTCTGGTTTCCACTTGAAGAACAGCAAGAGGTACAGAGTACTTTGTGTACCTGCTGATGAGCTGGATGGTGAAGGTGGCCTTTCTGTTATTGAAAATACAATTGTTCAATTTTACCTTCAGTGGTGCTCTTTAAACTTCTCATCTATACAGCCCACAGAGCAAAGTAAACAGAAGCCATTCTGGCAAGTTTGGGAGAGGATCGATTTAAGCATGGCATTTATTATTATAAACACATTGTAACTTTTGCATTCTATGATTCATCTCTTTTTTGTCAATAGGAAAACAATGGTTTAATAATTAGTTGCTACCACAAAAAAATGAACTTCTAGATCCTTGAATCATATTTGTCTTGTGAATTTAAATATTCTAGCTATTCCTACAGTTTGAGATGCACAAAAGATTCCTTAAGGGTGACAGACATAACTGCCACCAACGTGATAGAGTCATTTCATCAAAGGGGACAGAGACACTGTGCCTGCTCTCTGAGGCTGCCGTGTCTAACAGTAAGCTTACTTTAATAGTGGCTTCACTGAGAGACCACCCTGTGGGGAGTTTGCACTACCCCAGTGCTCACTCATTCCACCTCTCCTAGAATACCTATTTCTAAAGTTCTGGAAGCAGTAGTCACTGGGGATGAAATAAGTTGCTATCTCACCTTCTGTCAGGCTCCTCTGCTCGTAGTTCCCTGAGGATTTATGCTTTGTTCCTCAAGTAAATCTGAAAGTGGCCTTGGGGACACCACTCTGCATGACATGCTGTCCATGCTGTGTTTGGAGAAGACAACTATGGGGTGCTTTGGGAGGCCTCTTACTGTGTCCTAGAGACAGGGGCAAAAAAGGGGATTCTAAAGCCAGATGTGGGTCCATGGTGACAGGCTGGCATTAACATCCTCACCATACACACAGTGTGACCTAGACTCCTACTTGCCCCAAAGTCAAGGTCAACCCACAGAGGCTTGGAAGTCCCTTTCTGTTGCAATCAACTAATCAAACACCTCAGCAGGGAACAGAGCACAGGCCTTGAGCTGTAGGGCTCACTGGGTAACATCACTCAGAGAAGTTAAGATGGTGGCTAGATGAAGGAGCTCCTCATTTTTTTTTTTTAGACAGGGTTTCCTTGTAGCTCAAACTGGCTTGGAACTCACTATGTATACCAGGCCGGCCTCCATCTCTCAGAGATCTACCTGCCTCTGCCTCCCAGTGCTGTGATTAAAGGTGAGCACCACCACGCCGGTGGAGGTCCTCTTCTTAACTCTGAAGTGAGACTAGATTTGGCTTGCCTAACAAAATCTTTGAACCTTACTTTTATGGCATGTAAGTATTTGACTCTAAAAGTGCTTTTGACTCTAAAGTGCTTTTGGATTTGTGTCTGTTTTAGGTGGTGATGGGAACTGGCATTTCAGCGGGATTTAACTTGCAAGAATCCTACAATGTGGATGTTGTTGGAACACTTCCTCTGGGGTAGGCCCAATAGGTTAAGGAACAGAGTGACTTGAATAATCAAGGGATCTATTGTTTTTAACTCTTGCTATAATGGTGGTAGAATGAAAAATCAGCTTTTCTACATATCAAATAGCCAAAGATCTTAAAGGCTTGAGGTATGTGTGTATGTACATGCATGCATGTGTGCGTGTGTGTTGGTTTAAAGCACATAGCATAAAATTTACCATCTTAACCATTTTTAAATACACAGTTTAGTAGTATTGCATATATTCACATTGTAGTGTCTCTGAAACATTTTCATCTGACAAATCTGAAATTCTATACCCATTAACTACTCCCTTCTCCATCCCTTGGCCCCTGGTAACTGCCATTCAGTTTTCTGTTCTGTAAGTTTAACTGCTCTTAATATTAGTGAATCATACAGTATTCGGCATTTTGTGACTGTCTTATTTCATTCGGCCTAGTGTCTTCAAGTTCTATCCATATTGGAACATACAACACCATGTTCTCCCTTTTTAAAGGCTGAATATTCCATTGTGTGTTTATCCTGCATTTTGTTTCTCCATTCATCCATCAGTGGATATTTCAATTATATTCACTGCTTTGCTATTATGAATTCCTCTGCTATGCGCATAGGTGAGCAAAGCTGACTGTGAGACACCATGCTTTCAATTTTGGGGGGAATCCTGAATGTGGTGGTTAATTTTAATTGTCAAGTTGCAAGAGTCACCTGGAGCAAGAAGAACTGTGGCAGACAAAAAAAAAAAAAAAAAAAAAAAAAAAACCCGGGCAATGGGTAAAAAAAAAAAAAAAAAAAGAATCACCTGGGCAATGGGTCTCTGGGCGTGCCTGTAGGGGATTATCTTGATTGGACTAATAGAGGTGGGAAGACCTGCCTCCTAGACTGTATAAAAAGGATAAAGTAAGCTGAGCGTGGTCATCGTCTTTACCTCCTGACTGCATAATGCAATGTGACCAGTCACCTCAATCTCTTGCTGCCTTCACTTCCCCACCATGGTGGGCTATTTCTGGAACTGTGAGCCAAAATAAACCCTTCCTTGGTTTTTGTCAGGATATTTTATCACAACACAGAAAAAAGTAACTAAGACACTGGCTAATATTTTAAGTTGTTTTTAGGGAACCCTGCATTGTTTTCCATAGCAGCTGCACCATTTTACAATCCTGCCAACAGTGGTGAGTGGATTTTTTGTTTTGTTTTGTTTTTTAAATCTCTCCTTGAGTGACACAGGAATTAAAAGCAAAAAGACCTAAATTCTAGCTTTCCATTAAGCTGTATGGCCTTGGGCAGTCGGCTTAACCTCTTAAAGCTCCATCTTCCTCACCTGCCATGGGTAGCCCATTCTTGTCCCTGGGGCAGCTGTGAGAATGCAGGAGGTAACTTGAAGCGAACTGGTGGGCAGTACTGCATGTACAGGAGGCATCCAAGACAGGCTAGCTGCAAGTTCCAAGGCTCACTGTTCCAGTGGGTCCTCCGGGTTTAGTCCATATGCTGCATGTTTCTTTGCTTCCTCTATATTACCTAATTCCGCATTTTAAAATATATACATATATATATTATTCCTATTTTACAGAAAACTTTCATCTGTCTTCATTTACTCAGCATTTGTTTACTGAATGTACTAGGGTCACGGCAGTTACAAACAAAACATACACACAGACAAAAAATTCTTACCTTCTGGAGCTTGTAATCTGCTGGACCCAGACAGCCAATCAATAAAAAAACAGATAGAGAGCTCTGAGAAGAAGGGAAGGGAAGTTGGTCAGGGTGTTTTAGGTAGAGTCAAGGAGGTGACGTTTGAGCGACATGAGTGAGTCTCAGTGACTTACTAGTGAGTCCCAGCCTGGCCCAGAGATCGATCTTCTGAGGCCTATTTTCGTGTTCTTTTCCATTACTTCACACTGGCTCTCTAACAATGAGTTGTGTGATAAACATTAGTCTTTGACTGAATCCAATAGCTAATCCTATTCAGTTACTAGTTACAAATCATTTAATTGAATGAGAAATTCTTCCACTTAGATTTATCTTTTTAGTGGTATGCTGCTAGATTGGCATCCATGTCCCTGTGACTTTTACTCATGCCTCCCTTCCCCTGTTGCACTGTGCACTGTACCATGACAGGCTGCTTCCCTTCTAGTGGGTACTAAACTTAAAAAAAAAAAAAAAAAGAAAGAAAGAAAGAAAAGAAAAGGACTTTACCTACCCAGAAAACTTATCCTCCTGAAACTTTATCCCAAACCAAGCAGGTGTCCAAATACACTGGCATGCTCATGCTGTAATCCCAGCACATGAGAGACTGAAGCAAGAGAACTGCAAGTTTGAGGCCAGCCTGGGCTGCGTTGTGAGTTCCAGGCCAGCCTGAACAGTTGGGGGCTGGATGGCAACCCCAGCAGAGGAGCCAAACCTGTGTATATGGTTTCCTCAGAGAGGAGAGGAGAGAACTTTCCAGGTATCTGATGGTGTCAATTCTGCTACATTCTATTGATCAAGTGCATCAAAACTATTTTTATACCACTATGACCAAAATACCTAACAGAAAAGAAAGGAAAGAAAGAAAGAAAGAAAGAAAGAAAGAAAGAAAGAAAGAAAGAAAGAAAGAAAGAAAAAAGAAAGAAAGAAAGAAAGCAGCACAGGTTCATTTTAACTCACAGTTCCAGCAAGACTTCAGTCATTGTAGCAAGGCATGGTGGAGCATGCCCATGCTTACAGGAGCCTGAGGCAGCAGCTCTAGACATGGCAGCAAGCCAGGAGGCAGAGTGCAGCACGAACCGGGCATAAATAGGACCTTCAAAACCCTTCCCCTGCTGGGAACCTACTTCCTCTATCCAGGCCCTCCCTCATAAAGGCTCCATGACCTTCAAAAAACAGTGCTACAATCTGGGAACTGAGGGTTCAAAACATGAAGTATGAACTATAGGGGACATTTCAGATTAAAACCATAACATTTCACCCCTAGCCCTCAAAGGCTGTGGCCAAGCATACTGCAAAATGCATTCAGTCCTACTTTGAAAGTCCCCATAGTTATAATAATCTTAACACTGCTCAAAAGTCAAATGTCTCTTCTGAGACTCAATAATCCTAACACTGCTCAAAAGTCAAATGTCTCTTCTGAGACTCAAGACTTAGCTATGGAGCCTCTATAAATTCAAACAAGTTACATGCTTCCAACGTACAATAGAACAGAGAAAATGTTCCCATTTCAAAAAGAAGGAATGGGAGGTTTGCAAAGAAAGATTGGACCAAAGCAAGACTGAAATCCAGCAGGGCAAGCATTGAATCCTGTAGCTCCATGCCTACTGTCCAGGGTATGTGGCGGCATCATGTGAGCACCAACAAACTTGGGGAGCTCCACCCCTATGGCATTTCCATACACAATACACGTCTTCTCTCATAGTCCAGCTCTACTCAGTGCCTGCAGCTTTCCTTACGTGATGTTCCACATTTCCTGACATCAGCAACATCCTGGGATCTCCATTGCAATTTAGCTTTACCATAAAGCTTCATGCACAAACTGTTCATGCACAGCTTCCTGTGGGGACGCTAACCCTGCTACACACTGCCTGACCTTGCAAGCTTTTCTTTAGAACCTTGGTGCAAACCCCCATAACTCTGTAACTCTTGAGTTCTGCATGCCTGCAAAACCAATGCCATGTAGATGACACCAAGTTCTGCTACCAGCCTTGAGAACTAACCAGAGCCCCTTGGACCACAGCTACAGTGGCCTGTCTTGTGAGCGCATGCACTGACATGGTAATGCATTTCCCTAGCAATCCCTTTTTCAACAGGACACCCCTACATTTCTCTCTTTTGAAATGCAAGTCTCCAATTATTTTGCATTATTACACCCTGAGGCCTTCAAGGAGAGGGGTAGCACCAACTGCTTCTTTTCTTTTTCTTTTTCTTTTTCTTTTTCTTTTTCTTTTTCTTTTTCATTTTCTTCCCTTCCCTTCCCTTCCCTTCCCTTCCCTTCCCTTCCCTTCCCTTCCCGTCCATCTTTCCCTCCGCCGACATCTTTCCCTTCCCTAGGGAAAGGAGCCCCCCTTCTCTCCTCCCTCCTCCCTCCCCTCCCCTCTGCTTCCCTTCTCTTCCCTTCCCTTCCCTTTCCTTTTTTTTTTCACTCTATATTCTTACTGACTCATGCCAAAGCCCAACTGTTAACGTGTCTTGACCTTTCCTCCACCAAATCAATTAGCTCATTTCTTTTTCACCCAGCTCACTCATATTTTCAGGACACAGGCCAAAAATAGCCAAATTCTTTACTAGATGAGGTACAAATTACCTGTAGCCCAACAGAGTCCTTGTTCCCACCTGAAACTGCATGAGCACAGCCTTCACTGTCTGCATTTCTATCAGCATTGTGTTCTCCCAGACTCTTAGCAGCATCAACCAGGAAACTCTGCTTGGCATTCTAGGACTTATCCAGCCCAGAACTCCAAACTCTTCCATATTCCTCCCCCAAAATGATTTCCAAAGGCCTCAGAAGCAGATGGTCAGGTTTATCACAGCAACAAACTCGTTTCTTTTATACCAATTTCTGTATTGTTTCCTTGTTATCACTGAGACCAAATTACCTGACAGAAACAAGTTAAGGAAGGAAAGACTTGGCTGTTTCAGTCCATCATAGTGGAAAAAGCATGACAGAATGGCTCCATCCATGGCCGCAGGAGCATGAGGCACCTACTTTTCACATGGTGATGGATCAGGAAGCAGAGCACACGGGCCAGAAGCAGGGAGTAGAAATATCCTTTAAAGACCTGTGCTTACTGACCTACTTCTGCTAGCCAGGCCTCACTTCTTAAAGGCTCCACAGCTTTCAAAATAGTGCCATAAATGGGGATGAGTATTTAAAGCATGAGCCTGTGGGGGGCATTTCAGATTCAAACCATGACAGCAAATCAGAAGGCCAGCCTAGATTCAGCAAGAGAGACACAAGTAGATGAGAGAAGCAACACACACCTGCAAGTAGGAGAGGACTGGCAGGGGCTGTGTTTGGCAGCAAGCTTCCATGCTGATCAATGTGTATTCATAAATCAATACACCCTGCAGAACCCACAAAGTGTCAGTTGACGATTAAAGATCTCAGGCATGGAATATTTGAGTGTTACTTTTCTGAACTAATTCCAAAATATATCATGTTCATATTCTTATTGCCCCAACACAAACCAGCTGCTAAAAGCACATGAGAAAGACAGTTCATTTTATAGTCAGACCCCATGGTTTGTCATCTATTCTATCTTGGGGAAAATCAGTTCACAAAGCATCCCTTTTTTTTTGGTCTCTTTAACCTTTAAATTGGAATAATGATGGCATCTATGAAATAGGCCTATTGTGAGGAAAGGAAATGGCTTACATGAAACATGACCTAGGTCTGACAGGTATTAGATCCCTTCCCTTCCCTCCCCTCCCTTTCCTTACCCCAGGATTTGAAATGTCCTTTTTGTCACTGTACTATGACACAGTAAGAAAAAACAGATACAGAAAGACAAGTTCTTTATGGGTTTGGTGTAATTAATAGATGAACCGAATGGCCTTGAATAAGTTTGTTTAACCTCATCATGCCTTGTTTCCTCCTCTGTAAAGTCAGGATTATAATGATTCCTCATTCATAGTCTATGGGAAATAATTTAATAAGCATAGAACCCAGCACACAAGACCTGATACACAAGCACCTGATAATTGACTTGTATAGCAATTAAACGTTACCATTTTTTAACCCAGTGCCTTGAATTGGTGCAAGATGCCTCTGAAAATCCCTACTACTTGGGGCTGAAGAGATGGCTCAGCAGTTAAGAGCACTTGCTGCTCTTGTAGAGGACCTGGGTTCGATTCCCAGCACCCACATGGTGGCTAACAACCATCCAGTTCAAGGGGGATACAATACCCTCTTCTGACTCCTTGGGCATTGCACGGCAAGGGTGCACTTACACATATGCAGACAATACACTCATATACATAAAATGAAAAAATAAATTAATTAAATTAAAAAGAAAATCCATACTACCACTTCCCTTATAACATTCTAGGGATTCCCTGTCATGTTTCCTTAGGACAAGGGTCCCAAACTACAAAAATGGACAAAACCTGGCTAGTTTCCCCTTTGTAGATTTCCAGAGTCACACTTGGGCTTCTCCAAGTTTTCAGGTGAGACCCAATATAATCTTCTCTTCCCATATTAGAGCTTAGCTGAAGGGACAGTGACATGGGAAGAGCAAATAGACTAGGAGTCCTTACCTCAAATAACAAAGAAGTGAGTAATGTTACAAGGACAGTAATTCTGTTAAGGCAACACTTGTCTAACACCCTCTCGACCCCACACAGGGTTCAGATGTCTGTGGCATCTGAGCACTTCACTGACCCTCTTCTTCCTAGTTTGGAGTCTCTTACTTACACCTGCCATCAGGTATGAAGTTACTCTGCTATAAATAACTGGGCATTTGATCTCTGAAGATGGCCCTTCCACAGAAAACAGCACTCTGTTGCATGGGTCTGGAAGCACCTCGGAAGCAAGCGAGGGGCCCTCTTGCTGCATCAGAGCAAACACGTGCCCAGGCATTGATCACTTCATTGCACCTAATGCCTCTCTCACATGCTTTGTTCCATTTGTGTGTTTACCCCCAGTGGTCACAACACTTGAGTTAAAGGCATCTTGACTTTTCAGGCTACTCCCTCCTGCCAACCCAGACACCAGCCTCTTCCACCTCGTGTATGTGGATGCCATTGCCATAGCCATCGTTGGATTTTCGGTGACCATCTCCATGGCCAAGACCTTGGCAAATAAGCACGGCTACCAGGTTGATGGCAATCAGGTAAACATCGTCAATTTTGTAGATGTTTCGTTGGGATGCAACTGCCAAGCTCTGCTCTGGAAGGCAAATGGACTGAATTTATCTAGCTTTGTACAAAAACTTGTACTCTGGTAATGGATATATTTGAAGCATTATTTATTTGACACTATAACTTGTCCTTTCCTCCTTTCCTCCATCATTTCTTTTCTTTCCTTCTCTTTATTTCTTCTGCTGTTATTGTTTGAGACAAGGTCTCACACTATAGCCAATGACCTTGAATTCATTATGTAGCCCAGGCTGGCCTTGAACTCATAATCCTCCTGCCTCAGCTTTCTAAGTACTGGGATTTAAAATTCTTTCTGCTGCCTTCTTTTATAACATAAATACAGAAAAGATCTAATCCAAAAACCATAAGCTGTAATCTTGTCAGAACATTGTCCATATTAACACCCTTCATATTTTTTAGAGGCAGGGTCTCACTCTGTAGTTAGCCTGAAGCCCACTATGTAACCATGTAACTTGGGCTGTTCTCAAACTTGCAGTGATCCTGCTTTAGCCTCCTGAGTGCTAAGATTACAGCTTTAAGCCACCACACCTAGCACCCTGTGTATTTCTAAATGGAGACCAGATGCTCCACATTCATTAAAAAATCAAACTAGAAAACCCAAAGTAGCCCTAAGATCAGGGCTCACAGCTCCCAAGAATGTATTGGAATGTACTTGTTCATGAGCAATAGGCTACCAATAGTCATGCATTAATAACTTTCTTTAAAAACAAAAACAAAAACAAAACAAAAAAAAAAACAGTACTTTCTCAGGACTGGAGAGATTCAGTTAAGAGCACTGGCTGTTCTTGCAGAGGACCCAGGTGAAGTTCTCAGCACCCACATGGTCACTCATAACTGCCTGTAACTCCAGTTCCAAGGGATCCAATACTCTCTTCTGGATTATGAGGGTACCAGGCACACATATGGTATACATACATACATGCAAGTAAAACACTCATATATATAAAATATTCTTTTAAAAAGTATTTTCTCACTTTTTGCAGTTTTTTAAAAAGCAGTGTTTATATGGGGAGTATGTTTGAGAAACAGAGAATGGGTAGGGATCATAGCATTTATTTCCACAATGAAAACTCAAAGTCTTTTTCTCCCACTGTGAAATATTCCATGACTCCTATTTTTAATTAATGCTAAAGAAATTTTGCATTTGAAAAGTAAATGAAGGAAGAAGCCTAGCCTTTACAGATAAAAGTGTGTATTAAATGCACTGCTAGCTTTCCCCCTGAAGAGTGATTGTCACCTCTGTTTTGTTTCCACGTGGAAAAGGAGCTCATTGCCTTGGGACTGTGCAATTCCATCGGATCTCTTTTCCAGACCTTTTCCATTTCTTGCTCCTTGTCTCGAAGCCTTGTTCAGGAGGGAACTGGAGGGAAGACACAGGTAGGTACCCAACATGTCTCTAAGAACTAGAGATTTGGGTAGTGATTAAATGTGAATACCTGGATTCTATCTGAATCCAAACAAAGCTACTCTGCCTGCAGATCCATGCTCCAGTGAGCTGTGTAGTAGTCAGAGAAAGGCATGATCACAAGGAACTGAATCTATAGGAAAGAGGTATATTCTCCAATTAAATTGGAAAGTTATACAACACTCTACTTGCTACCAGTAAACCTTAAGGTTCAGACATGGGCTCTTGTCCTGAAGGTCTGAGACTGAGTTTGGGCAGGAGGCTAGCCCTGCCTAATGGAACTTTCACACAGAGATGGGAATGTTCAATCTTTGCACCATCCAATATGGCAGTCATTAGCAACCTATGGCTCTTGAGTACTTGAAATAGGGCCGCTGCAAACAAGACTTGAATTTTTTTATTTTCTTTAATTTTAGTTTTAAAAATATTAAGTAGCCACATGTGATGAGTGACTACCATATTGGACAGCTAGTCTGAACTCCTCTGTCCTTGGGTCTCAGGTTAGCACCAGACATTTTTTCCACCTCTGACAAGAACATTTCAATCAAGATAAGTCGCTCAGTTTCTGCTTAAAGGCTTTAAGAGAAACCAAAACATCAAGGAGGGAGTAGGCTAGAGTTCTTGGTTAGAGGAGTGAGCTAGAGTCATGAGCTCATGTAATAGTTTGGATGGCTTCTTGGAATCCATATGTTCTTGATTTTCCTCCAGTGATTATGGCGAGAATCAGGTCAGCCTGTGTCCCCACCTCTCATCCTTGTCTAAAAACCCCTTCTGTGTGTCTTCTCTCATCCAGCTTGCAGGTTGCCTGGCCTCCTTAATGATTCTGCTGGTGATATTAGCCACGGGATTCCTCTTTGAGTCATTACCCCAGGTGTGTAGTATGGGCTTGGTCTGAGGGGTTTCCATGCTATTCTGTGTTTATATTTTTGTGGCCGTCATGGAAGTTTTTAAACTATAACTCTAGGATGGCAGTATGGGAAAGGACAGGCTCCTGCTCCATAATCTACTGGCAGGTGCACAATTTGGGAAAGCAACCTCAGCCTCTCTTGGTCTCAGTTTCCTTATCTGCCAAATGATAGTTGAATTGGCTGACCTCCAAGATTCCTGCTCTTTTTGACCTGCAACAACCTTACATGTTATTAAGATTCAGAGAAGACACTGGGCGTGATGGCACACGCCTTTAATCCCAGCACTCGGGAGGCAGAGGCAGGCAGATCTCTGTGAGTTTGAGGCCAGCCTGGTCTCCATGGTGAATCCAGACCACCTGTGGCTAAGGCAGACCCTGTCTCAAAAAGACCAAAAAAAATTCAGAGAAGACCTACAACACAGGAGCTTTATTTGCTGATTATATTTAATTTAAGAGAGAACAGAAACAATAAAAAATCATAAAAAGACCATGGGTGAAATCATTGTTTAGTACCAAATTTATTCTGAACCTCTCAGCTGCTGTACAGGTTTGCTGCTTGATATACATCAGATTTTCCAAGACCCATTTTAACTAAGTGCTGGAAATCCAGGTGTTCATGGCTTGAAAGGCACCATGCATGCCCCCAAGGTAGTGAGTCAGGCACAGAGGTGGGGAGGGCAGGAGGAGGACAGGGAGGAGCCAGCAGAGGGGGCTCTGAGCACGAGCACCTGACTGAAGAGGTAATGTGCTATGTTTCAGGCTGTGCTGTCTGCCATTGTGATTGTCAACCTGAAAGGAATGTTTATGCAGTTCTCAGATCTCCCCTTCTTCTGGAGAACCAGCAAAATAGAGCTGGTAAGTAAAAGGGGTGGTCAGGTTATGTCACTGCACGGCCCTTATTAGTGCGTCTAAAACCTTGAGAAAGGAATTAATGTAGTTAGTTGTTATGTATATTGCTTAGGCAAGGTAAACTCTGTGTGTGTGTATGTGTGTGTCTGTGAGAGGGGGGGAGGGGGGAGAGAGAGAGAGAGAGAGAGAGAGAGAGAGAGAGAGAGAGGGAGACTCTTGTTGTTTTATTACCATGATTCTCTAGAAAATTT